GCAATTAAAAACCACTGAAAAAGTTATGTTGTTATATTTTGTCAATTTAAACCCTTGGGGTTAGATTTGTCACCAAATCCGACCCGCTAAAAGCCCGAATCAAAAATTTATGTTTATGAAGAGTTGACTGAATCTGATGGGTTTGCGGTCCAGTTTTAAGAAAATAGAAAGAGGATTCGGTCAAGGTCCAAATCAGCCCCGCGGAAGACTACGTCAAGGAATGCGGAGCTGACGAGCTGGGAACGAGTCAACAGGGCGCGGAGAATATGCCAAGAACGTGGCCGAAATACGCGGAACCGCCCCAGAGAAGTAGAGCTGGATGGACGAGCTGAGCTGAGCTATAAATATGAGGAATCCTAGCAGATTTCGCCAACTTTTACTTACGCGAGAGGTAGAACACTACATTTCAGCTTATAACACGTCTCATTCGAGACCACATTGTATATTCGATTCATATCAATATAAATCCAGCTTCTCTATACTCTTCTTTTCCGAATTCACTCACAAATTCTTAGTGCGGAATTCAGCTTCCACATTTGACGCCGTTTAAGTGGAGAAAATAGATACATCTAGCACAGAAGTTCGACTTAAGATCTGTTAAAGAACAGACAGATAAATCAAAGTCCGCCACGCCGAAAGCCAGCGAAGAACCATCTGGATCTCAACCGCGAGACCAGGGCAGAACTAGAACCAACACCACGGTTCCAGTGGAAAACCGACCATTGACAGCAGGCCAGGCCGACCAGCGCCCAGCGACGAAGGTAACAGCCTCGGCCACAGCCGCCATGATCCCAGCCTCCTCACGAAGCGTGTGGATAAGAAACTAGGATGTTTCCGCAGAAGATGTGTCCGGAGATATCCAAAATGCGCCCACTTCTCAACCCCCGCCGGGTAGAAAGAGCGGACGCGAGGTGAGATGACCGAGATCCGTCGACTACTTTCCACGCTGGTGGAAAAATCATAGACAGAGGACACGATGGTCAGAACTGTCCAGGCCCGGCTCGAGCAACAAGAGAAAACTTTTCTGGCCAGATGCGGGAAATCTCTCAGTCGGTCACCTACCAAACCTAACTTTGAAAGGTTGGCGGAGAGGATAACACTCCTCCCCAGCACACAACCCCTCGATCGCGGTTAGATTTTTCATGGGTCTACGCTACCCCTACCAGCGCGAGCACCTACCCTGTGTTCAACCCGCGCATCAGCTCGCCGACCGTAACCATAGGTATCCCTGGTTCAAGCTCGCGTAACGACTCCATGAGAGTTAATGAACAACCCCTTCTACCTTCACCGCAAGTAAAGATTGCCCAAAACGCCCCTTCTGTGGAGGTAGGGGCTACACCTCAGACGGGAACGTCTTTAGCCCATCAGGATACCACAAAATTTGCCGACAACGACATGTTTCGCCGGTATGCCGAAAAAATTCAAGCTGAGCTGCGATTCATGAGGTCATGTGTCCAACGG